TAAGAAGCATCACACGAGAGGTAGTGAGGAGCTGGGGGCATGTGGACCTGCTGGTGGCAGGATGGGAGTGCCAAGCCATGTCGAGGGCAGGGAAAGTCAAAGGATTGGGAGATCCAAGAGGGGCGCTGCTGGTGAATCTGCTGTGCATCATAGACTGGATCAAGGAAGGGCAAGAGAAGGTGGTGTACCTGCTGGAGCACCTAGACCTGGAAGGGGACCGCAGGGAGCCTGTCAGGAAAGTTCGGGAGTTAGTGACAAGGAAGCTAGGGAAGGGAGTGAGATGTGACGCGGCCAGGCTGGGGGCACGAGCTCATCGTGTCAGACGATACTGGCAGAACGTCGTGTCAGATGAGCAATTGCAGCAGGAGCTGGATGGGATACGCAGGGACTGGAGCAAGACCGTGCGAGAGATTTTAGAGCCCGGCAGGATGGCGGCGCCAGTTAGGAAGGGCAGGCATGAGACACAATGCCCGTGCAACAAAGTGGGGGCAGAGCGCAGGGCATGGCCGACATTAGTGGAGTACGAAGGAGCAGCTGGGTTCAGAGAGGAAGACGGGCTGCCAGGAGAAGGCATGGTGTACGACAGCAGGACAAAGAAATGGGAGGAGCCGACTGCGCTGGAAAGGGAATTGGCAATGGGGTACGGAGAGGAGGTAACAAAGGCACCAGGGGTGACGGAAAAGGAAAGGAGGAGAGCATTAGGACAGACCATGGATGGACAAGTCATGTAGTGATTACTGCGGCGGATGTGGAGAGGGCTGGTGCTGGAAGCGGAAAAGGGACAAGGGTGTGAGGGGACAAGGGTGAAAAAGGTGGGGGCATGGGCATGCATGGCAGCCAAGGAAGAGCCGGTGTGGGTCGTGGGGAATGCAATGAGTGAGAGAGGAAAGGAGGCAATGCAAGAGGTGATGGCAAGGTACAGGCACGCATTCGTGTTCACCTTATGGGAGTTGGGGAAGTGTTCTGTGAAGGAGATGGAGTTGAAGCTGGTGACGGATGAGCCGGTGTTCCAGAGGAAGCGGAGGATGACACTTGGGGACGAGGATATTTGTAAGGAAAAGTGCAGGGAGCTAATGGAAGCGGGGCCGATACAGAGATCGGAGTCAGAGTATGCGACACCGACGGTGGTAGCTGCCCGAAAGGACCTGCTAGGGGAGGTGCTAAGCAGACGCATGTGCGGGAACTATAGAGCATTGAATAAGGTGACAGTGCCCGACAGGTACCCAATGTCCACAACCGAAGACATCTTTGACTGACTGGGGGCAGGGGAGATCTTTAGCACACTGTACTTAAGACAGGGGTTTAACCAAATTAGGATAATGAAAGAGGACGTGCGGAAGACGGCGTTCCATGGTGCAGATGGCTTGTACGAATGGCTATTCATGCCATTTGGGCTGAGAAATGCGTCAGCCATCTTTCAGAGAGTGATGGATAGCGTGCTGAGGGGACTGGAGTGTGCAGCGTGTTACATAGACGACGTAGTGAATTTCAGCAGGACTGAAGAGGAGCACGTGAGAGACGTGGAGCAGACACTGAAGGCGTTGGCAGCAGCTGGGCTGACATGTCATCCGAAGAAATGCAGGTGGGGAGAGGCAACCATGCAGTACCTGGGGTATGAGGTCGGGGGCGGGCAGCTAGGGATCCAGCAGGCAAAGATTGAGGTGCTGAACAGGCTGCAGCAGCCGAAGGACAGGAGCAGACTAAGAGCGGTACAGGGATTCCTGAGCTATTACCGCAGGTTCGTCCCGAATTTCAGCAAGCGGGCGTCACCATTGAACGGGCTGCTGAAGGAGGACAGGAAGTGGGAGTGGGGACGGAGCAGGAAGCAGCATTGAAGGATCTGATGGAGGCGGTGCAGACGGCGACAATTCTGCAGCTGCCCAAGGCAGACAAGCCCTTCTGCATGTACACCGACTAGAGCAGCCAAGGTATGGGTGCAATCCTGTGTCAGGAATTGGACGGGGAGGAGAGGGTTGTGGCGTACGCAAGCAGGAGCTGCAGCCCAGCGGAAGCCAAGTACAGCTCTTACCATGGGGAGGGGTTGGCAGCTGTGTGGGCTGTAAAACACTTTAGGGTATACCTACAGGGGAGGGAGTTTACACTGATTACAGACCATCAGCCCCTGCAATGGCTGATGACACACCAAGGGCTGACGGGGAGGAACGCACGTTGGGCCGTGACGCTGCAGGAATACGACTTCAAGATACGCCACAGGCCGGGGAAGACTCTGCGGCACGTGGACGGGCTCTCAAGGAACCCGCCGGCAGCAGAGCCAGTGCACGCGCTGATGTTGCTGGCTAGGCAAGGGGAAGAGGCAGCAGCAGGGAAGCAAAAGGGGCCAAAAGACATTTGGGAAGATCCAGCGGCGTTGCGATGGATTAAGGGAGAAACCGACGAGGATGAGCAGGTCTCTGACAGGGTGAGGGCAAGAGGGCACCATCACAGGTGGTATAAGGGACAACTGCAGCTACAGTCAGTGGATGGGTGGAAGCTGGTACCTGCACCACAGGAAAGGGAGGGAGTGATTAAGGAGGTGCACTGGAAGCTGGGGCACTTTGGGCATGAGCACACGTCGGAATTGTTGAAGACAGGCTGGTGGTGGGAAGGAATGAGAAGGGTGGTCAGAGAATGGGTCGGTAGATGCGAAGGGTGTCAGAGGAGCAAGGCCAGCTTGACACAGGCGAAGCAGGAGCTGCAGTCACTGCCGATAAGGGGGCTAGGGTTCAGGTGGTCTCTAGACATAGCTGGTGAGCTATCGCTGAGCAGGGGAGGCAAGCGGTACATACTGCTCATGGTGGAACACGCAAGCAAGTGGCTAGAGGTGTGTGCATTATCGAGCAAGGATTCCAGGCACGTGGCAAAGGCATTCAAGGGACAGGTCCTGTGCAGGTTTGGGGCACCAGGGGAAGTGCTCACTGATCAGGGGACAGAATTCAGAGGGGAATTTCAGACTCTGTTGGACGAGCCAAGGGTGACACACAGGCTGACATCGAGATATCACCCGCAGAGCGACGGGTTGACTGGGCGCCTCGTACAGACGTTGAAGCGGAATTTGAGGGCGTATGGAGAGAAGCGCAAGAGAGACTAGGATGAAGATTTGGACTGGATTGCAGCAGGGTAACAGGTTCGGGAAGCAGGCCTCCCTGAAGGACTACTCCCCTTATAGCATGCTGTTCGGGAAGGAGCCAATCCTGCCAGTGGGAGCACCGAGGGTACTAACAGATGTAGTGCAAGTCAGGGGAGCGGAGGAATGGGTGGCGCTAGCAGAGGCACGAGCACGGTACATGCGGGAGATGCTCCCTGCAGCTCTGGAAAACCTGCACACGGCACAGCTGAGGGATGCACACAGGTATGAGCAGCGGCAGCAGCAGGGGGGCAGGAAGGCCAAACCAGCAGTGACGGAAGGACAAGAGGTGTACCTGCGCAGGGCGAAAAGGGACACGCTGGATGTGGGCAAGCAGGGGAGAACATGAAGAAGAAGGGTAAGAGGATCAAGAGAGGAACCAGCCCAAGGCCAAGGTGAGGAAGAGGTGATCTCCGACATATTGCGGGCCATTTCGCATCAGTCACATGATCATGCTCGTCACCGCCCACCTCCTCCTCCCTGGTGACTGGTATGTCAGCCCGTCCTTCCACGTCAGCCTGCTTCGCCCTTAGATACCATCCACCAGCCAACTGCCCCGCAACCGCCCAGCCAGCATGACACGACCGCCGACATAACCAATCATCACCCCCGAAAAGATTCTGAGTCACCGAGTTCGTGACCCACGGGGAGCTCGAAGGATCGAATTTCTGATCCGCTGGAAAGACCGTACGCCTACCGAAGACAACTGGGTTCCCTGGACAGAATTGGAAACCAACCCCGTCCTCACTGAGTATCTGCGCAGCCAAAATTTCCGGGATGTACACGCGCTTTCGTAAGGAGGGCCTCCTTAAGGGTGGGGCTAGTGAAAGGAAAATTCATTTTCCTTACTTCGCGTCCCTGCTCAGCGCGTACACCACTGTTTCCCGCCAACAGTACCCAACAATAATCTGTTACCACTCGCGACACTCGCCTCGACACTATCCCCGCCACTGTTCACGACGCGACCCAACCTCACGGTTCGGTTGGTAACCTGTACTCTGGACCTCCGCCTCGACAATTCCCAACCTCGGCACTAGGCCCGTCGCGCAACCCATTTTCCACACATTACTGTTACCACTGTAGTTTCGCTATATATTCTTAGCTCATTCCTTCGCTCATTGTACTCTTGCTTCGATAGTGCAATCCTCGCTCGCTCACTCAATTGCACTCGTAACAATCACCCGCCTTACACTGCAAAAATAGCATAGCATAAGCTGCTTTAGAAAATCACTCTGTTTCCACAACAGAAGTGATTGTAAGGAGCACACTGAACTTCGGATTAGGATACTTTGAGCCACGTGGTGTTCATTGGCAGGCGGTGCTCCCTTTCTGTGCTTGTATGGGCCAAACCCAAAGCAGCCTCGCGCGGCGCTTCCTCGATCCAACATCGACGTCACACACACATCTGACATCTCAAGAAACCGCGAATTCTTCCACCCCCTCTGACAATCACCTTTCACCACCACCATTGACGGGTGTACTGTACTGTGGCAGTAGGACCAGACCAGGGGCTAGTTGGCACTTGGTCCCAGAATTCATAATTTCTCAGATTCACTCACATACTCGAAGCTTCTGCCGTCATTCACAGATTCACGAGCACAGCCACAGCCAGCCAGTACATTGGCAAGTAGCAGCCTGTGAATCTACGACACCATCCTTCGCCAATCACCCTTTTTTTGCAGCGGTCTTTCTCGCGAAGCCTCATGGCGTTTACCATTGCCACGCAGCCTACTACCCCTTACGAGGGACAGAAGCCTGGGACCTCGGGCCTGAGGAAGAAGGTAGCGTTCTTGCCTTGCTCGCGCAAATCAAGCTTAATTTCCCTACCGTCTGTCATCTTATTAGCAGAATCCGCTCCAATTCGTCGTGTTACCAGGTCACGGTCTTCCAACAGCCAAATTACTTGGCGAATTTCGTCCAGGCAACCTTCAATTCACTTCCCGCTGACAAGATCCAGGGTAAGCATGCGAATTTAGATCCTCCTCCCAGACTTCGATCCTTTTCCGTGAATACGCTTTTCCGTAAGAACTCTGAGAACTCATCGTAGCCTTCATCTTCAAACGTCTCAAGTGTCAGACACCTAGTCTCTCTCAATCCCGTTCCGTAGCCTGGCATGCTTCAGGCTTATTTGTTGATTTCAACTACCGGTCACGAAATCTTGCCTGAATGTCACCATCCCGGTTCTGACATGGTCCGGTCTGTTTCTTCTCCTGTTCAGGCTGCACTCTCGTGGTTTCCGGTGACGGTCGGTACTATTCCAAGGACGCGGTTCAGGTAACGCCGGGGTCCGTTCTTTCGGATGAGCAAATTCATTCTCGTAGCTTTCGTGTCCGTGAAATCTGACTGGTTAGCTTGTGTATTGTAGTTTTCTGGATCCAGACGACTTGAATCCATGACGACGCCTTGAATGCATGACAGATTATCGCCAAGCTCGCAGCCGGTAATGGAGTTCGCCGGATCTGGGTGGGTCAGGACAGCCTCCTCTCCACGCCCGCTGTGTCTGGAATCATCCGCGATCGCGTCGGCATCCAGGTAAAGATATAACACTCTTTGTCCACTAACAATTCAAGTAATATCTTAGGTCGTACCCATCGCGTCACGTTTCCAAGAACTCTTGCAAGCCTAGGTTTGGTCAAGAAATCTGTACCGACCTTCAGACGTTCCGCTCTGAATCGTCTCAACAGTGACAGGCTATGCCTGACAGTACTACCTCTTGTCATCTGGTTGCCTGAAACAGGGGGACAAGGCGTACGGAGCGTTCATTCTCACAGCGAGCCACAACCCCGGTGGGCCGCATGAGGACTTTGGCATCAAGTACAACTGCGAGAACGGAGGGCCGGCTCCTGAAGGCTTGACCAACCAGATCTACCAGCACACCACTACCATCTCCGAGCTCAAGATCGCAGAAGGCCTGCCCGAGGTACGTTAGTGAGGGCCCGATACAGACCTCCTGAGACTGAGGACTTCGGCATCTAGTACAACTGCAAGAACGGAGGGCCAGCTCCCGAAGGCCTGACCAACCAGATCTACCAGCACACCACTACCATCTCCGAGCTCAAGATCGCTGAAGGCCTACCTGAGGTATGATAGGGAGGCTTTCTTGATGACCCCCTTCTTAAGACTTGGGCCTAAAGTATAGGAGAAAGAGCGTAGTCCAGGTGGAGCTCCCGAAGGCCTGACCAACCAGATCTACCAGCACACCACAGCTATCTCCGAGCTCAAGATCGCTGAAGGTCTGCCCGAGGTATCATGGAATTTGTTTATCTCTGGAAACTCAAACGTGAATACAAAGCATGCTGGCTTCCTCCTGGTGCTCCTTCCTATTGCTTTCCTTGCTTCCCGTGGTAGGTGGGCATCAGCACTATAAGGCTGCAATCGTTTGACAGCCCGAATGACAAGTTTGAGGTGGAGATGTTCAGCTCCACTGTGCTCTGTACCTTATGCGTTGCCTCCTCATTCCTCTTGCCTCCCCTGTGGCCATTGCAGGTGGACATCAGCACCATCGGGCTGCAGTCATTTGATGGCCCGAATGGCAAGTTCGAGGTGGAGGTGTTCGACTCCGCTGAGGACTACATCAAGCTCATGAAGTCAGTCACACATCACTCCCCTTCAGTTGAAACATTCCTTTTTTTTCTTTCCAAAAATGAACCAGAAAACTATGCTGAGGACTACATCAAGCTCATGAAGCCAGTCCTCTGTCCTTGTCTTTCCCTCCGCTCTCCCCTTAGTTGTCACTAGCTTGCGTCCCTTCCATGATCCATCTGTCCTGCTATTTTCTCCCTTGGTGCAAAAGTGTGTTCACTCCGTTCCCAATGCACTGCCTTCCTCCTCTCTTAACGTCATGCCATTCGCTTCACACTTTCGTTGCTGCTACTGCCGTTGCTACTGCTGTTGCTACTGCTGTTGCCGCAGGACCATCTTCGACTTCGATGCCATTCGGGCGCTCCTCAAGAATCCCAAGTTCTCGTTCCTGTACGTCTCTACGCCCTGGCAAGCCAGGTCCTAGTCCTGAGGTGTCTCTGCCTTTTTTAAGCAGCAATCATACAGTGAGGGCGTCTGTTAGCATCAAAGTAAGACAAGAAGTCAATATCATTCTCAATGCTTCAATTCAATGTCACTTCATGGGGCGAGAAGTCCATGTCATTCTCTTCCCCTGATATCTTAACTCGTTCTACTTGTCGTTGCGTGCTTCTCACAGGTTGGATGGGCTGCACGGTGTGGCGGGAGCATACGCAGAGAAGCTGTTTGTGCGCGAGCTGGGAGTGTCAGCCTCGTCCCTTGTCAACTGCGTGCCAAAGGTACGTCCTGCCTCTTGTCTCTTGCTACTGCCCTACACTCTCGCCATCCCCTGTATCCTCCCTCTCTCACTGCCTGCTGCGTGCGGGATGGGAATGAGCTGTTTGTGCGTGAGCTGGGAGTGCCAGCCTCGTTTCTCGTCAACTGCGTGCCAAAGGTGTGTCCTGCCTCTTGCTAATACCGCACACTCCTACATTCTGCTCTGCTCTACGTGAACTTCTTTTTGAAAATCTCCGCCTCCACTTCACACTCTCCCCCTCCGCTCCACTCTCCCTCCCCCTCCGCTCCACTCTCCCTCCCCCTCCGCTCCACTCTCCCTCCCCCTCCGCTCCTCTCTCCCTCCCCCTCCGCTCCACTCTCCCTCCCCCTCCGCTCCACTCTCCCTCCCCCTCCGCTCCACTCTCCCTCCCCCTCCACTCCACTCTCCCTCCCCCTCCGCTCCACTCTCCCTCCCCCTCCGCTCCACTCTCCCTCCCTCTCCGCTCCACTCTCCCTACCCCTCCGCTCCACTCTCCCTCCCCCTCCGCTCCACTCTCCCTCCCCCTCCGCTCCACTCTCCCTCCCCCTCCGCTCCACACTCCCTCCCCCTCCGCTCCACTCTCCCTCCCCCTCCGCTCCACTCTCCCTCCCCCTCCGCTCCACTCTCCCTCCCCCTCCGCTCCACTCTCCCTCCCCCTCCGCTCTACTCTCCCTCCCCCTCCGCTCCACTCTCCCTCCCCCTCCGCTCCACTCTCTCTCTCCCCCTCCGCTCCACTCTCCCTCCCCCTCCACTCCACTCTCCCTCACCCTCCGCTCCACTCTCCCTCCCCCTCCGCTCCACTCTCCCTCCCTCTCCGCTCCACTCTCCCTACCCCTCCGCTCCACTCTCCCTCCCCCTCCGCTCCACTCTCCCTCCCCCTCCGCTCCACTCTCCCTCCCCCTCCGCTCCACTCTCCCTCCCCCTCCGCTCCACTCTCCCTCCCCCTCCGCTCCACTCTCCCTCCCCCTCCGCTCCAATCTCCCTCCCCCTCCGCTCCACTCTCCCTCCCCCTCCGCTCCACTCTCCCTCCCTCTCCGCTCCACTCTCCCTCCCCCTCCGCTCCACTCTCCCTCCCCCTCCGCTCCACTCTCCCTCCCCCTCCGCTCCACTCTCCCTCCCTCTCCGCTCCACTCTCCCTACCCCTCCGCTCCACTCTCCCTCCCCTCCGCTCCACTCTCCCTCCCCCTCCGCTCCACTCTCCCTCCCCTCCGCTCCACTCTCCCTCCCCCTCCGCTCCACTCTCCCTCCCCCTCCGCTCCACTCTCCCTCCCCCTCCGCTCCACTCTCCCTCCCCCTCCGCTCCACTCTCCCTCCCCCTCCGCTCCACTCTCCCTCCCCCTCCGCTCCACTCTCCCTCCCTCTCCGCTCCACTCTCCCTCCCCCTCCGCTCCACTCTCCCTCCCCCTCCGCTCCCCTCTCCCTCCCCCTCCGCTCCACTCTCCCTCCCCCTCCGCTCCACTCTCCCTCCCCCTCCGCTCCACTCTCCCTCCCCCTCCGCTCCACTCTCCCTCCCCCTCCGCTCCACTCTCCCTCCCCCTCCGCTCCACTCTCCCTCCCCCTCCGCTCCACTCTCCCTCCCCCTCCGCTCCACTCTCCCTCCCCCTCCGCTCCACTCTCCCTCCCTCTCCGCTCCACTCTCCCTACCCCTCCGCTCCACTCTCCCTCCCCCTCCGCTCCACTTTCCCTCCCCCTCCGCTCCACTCTCCCTCCCCCTCCGCTCCACTCTCCCTCCCCCTCCGCTCCACTCTCCCTCCCCCTCCGCTCCACTCTCCCTCCCCCTCCGCTCCACTCTCCCTCCCCTCCGCTCCACTCTCCCTCCCTCTCCGCTCCACTCTCCCTACCCCTCCGCTCCACTCTCCCTCCCCCTCCGCTCCACTCTCCCTCCCCCTCCGCTCCACTCTCCCTCCCCCTCCGCTCCACTCTCCCGACCCCTCCGCTCCACTCTCCCTCCCCCTCCGCTCCACTCTCCCTCCCTCTCCGCTCCACTCTCCCTACCCCTCCGCTCCACTCTCCCTCCCCCTCCGCTCCACTCTCCCTCCCCTCCGCTCCACTCTCCCTCCCCCTCCGCTCCACTCTCCCTCCCCCTCCGCTCCACTCTCCCTCCCCCTCCGCTCCACTCTCCCTCCCCCTCCGCTCCACTCTCCCTCCCCTCCGCTCCACTCTCCTCCCTCTCCGCTCCACTCTCCCTACCCCTCCGCTCCACTCTCCCTCCCCCTCCGCTCCACTCTCTCCTCCCCCCTCCGCTCCACTCTCCCTCCCCCTCCGCTCCACTCTCCCTCCCCCTCCGCTCCACTCTCCCTCCCCCTCCGCTCCACTCTCCCTCCCCCTCCGCTCCACTCTCCCTCCCCCTCCGCTCCACTCTCCCTCCCTCTCTGCTCCACTCTCCCTACCCCTCCGCTCCACTCTCCCTCCCCCTCCGCTCCACTCTCCCTCCCCCTCCGCTCCACTCTCCCTCCCCCTCCGCTCCACTCTCCCTCCCCCTCCGCTCCACTCTCCCTCCCCTCCGCTCCACTCTCCCTCCCCCTCCGCTCCACTCTCCCTCCCCCTCCGCTCCACTCTCCCTCCCCCTCCGCTCCACTCTCCCTCCCCCTCCGCTCCACTCTCCCTCCCCCTCCGCTCCACTCTCCCTCCCTCTCCGCTCCACTCTCCCTACCCCTCCGCTCCACTCTCCCTCCCCCTCCGCTCCACTCTCCCTCCCCCTCCGCTCCACTCTCCCTCCCCTCCGCTCCACTCTCCCTCCCCCTCCGCTCCACTCTCCCTCCCCCTCCGCTCCACTCTCCCTCCCCCTCCGCTCCACTCTCCCTCCCCCTCCGCTCACTCTCCCTCCCCTCCGCTCCACTCTCCCTACCCCCTCCGCTCCACTCTCCCTACCCCTCCGCTCCACTCTCCCTCCCCCTCCGCCCACTCTCCCTCCCCTCCGCTCCACTCTCCCTCCCCCTCCGCTCCACTCTCCCTCCCCCTCCGCCCCACTCTCCCTCCCCCTCCGCTCCACTCTCCCTCCCCCTCCGCTCCACTCTCCCTCCCCCTCCGCTCCACTCTCCTCCCCTCCGCTCCACTCTCCCTCCCCCTCCGCTCCACTCTCCCTCCCCCTCCGCTCCACTCTCCCTCCCCCTCCGCTCCACTCTCCCTTCCCCTCCGCTCCCTCTCCCTCCCTCCGCTCCACTCTCCCTCCCCCTCCGCTCCACTCTCCCTACCCCTCCGCTCCACTCTCCCTCCCCTCCGCTCCACTCTCCCTCCCCCTCCGCTCCACTCTCCCTCCCCCTCCGCTCCACTCTCCCTCCCCCTCCGCTCCACTCTCCCTCCCCCTCCGCTCCACTCTCCCTCCCCCTCCGCTCCACTCTCCCTCCCCCTCCGCTCCACTCTCCCTCCCCCTCCGCTCCACTCTCCCTCCCTCTCCGCTCCACTCTCCCTACCCCTCCGCTCCACTCTCCCTCCCCCTCCGCTCCACTCTCCCTCCCCCCTCCGCTCCACTCTCCCTCCCCCTCCGCTCCACTCTCCCTCCCCCACCGCTCACTCTCCCTCCCCCTCCGCTCCACTCTCCCTCCCCCTCCGCTCCACTCTCCTCCCCCTCCGCTCCACTCTCCCTCCCTCTCCGCTCCACTCTCCCTACCCCTCCGCTCCACTCTCCCTCCCCCTCCGCTCCACTCTCCCTCCCCCTCCGCTCCACTCTCCCTCCCCCTCCGCTCCACTCTCCCTCCCCCTCCGCTCCACTCTCCCTCCCCCTCCGCTCCACTCTCCCTCCCTCTCCGCTCCACTCTCCCTACCCCTCCGCTCCACTCTCCCTCCCCCTCCGCTCCACTCTCCCTCCCCCTCCGCTCCACTCTCCCTCCCCTCCGCTCCACTCTCCCTCCCCCTCCGCTCCACTCTCCCTCCCCCTCCGCTCCACTCTCCCTCCCCTCCGCTCCACTCTCCCTCCCCCTCCGCTCCACTCTCCCTCCCCCTCCGCTCCACTCTCCCTCCCCCTCCGCTCCACTCTACCTCCCTCTCCGCTCCACTCTCCCTACCCCTCCGCTCCACTCTCCCTCCCCCTCCGCTCCACCCTCCCTCCCCCTCCGCTCCACTCTCCCTCCCCCTCCGCTCCACTCTCCCTCCCCCTCCGCTCCACTCTCCCTCCCCCTCCGCTCCACTCTCCCTCCCTCTCCGCTCCACTCTCCCTACCCCTCCGCTCCACTCTCCCTCCCCCTCCGCTCCACTCTCCCTCCCCCTCCGCTCCACTCTCCCTCCCCCTCCGCTCCACTCTCCCTCCCCCTCCCGCTCCACTCTCCCTCCCTCTCCGCTCCACTCTCCCTCCCCCTCCGCTCCACTCTCCCTCCCCCTCCGCTCCACTCTCCTCCCCCTCCGCTCCACTCTCCCTCCCTCTCCGCTCCACTCTCCCTCCCCCTCCGCTCCACTCTCCCTCCCCCTCCGCTCCACTCTCCCTCCCCCTCCGCTCCCACTCTCCCTCCCTCTCCGCTCCACTCTCCCTACCCTCCGCTCCACTCTCCCCTCCCCCTCCGCTCCACTCTCCCTCCCCCTCCGCTCCACTCTCCCTCCCCCTCCGCTCCACTCTCCCTCCCCCTCCGCTCCACTCTCCCTCCCCCTCCGCTCCACTCTCCCTCCCTCTCCGCTCCACTCTCCCTACCCCTCCGCTCCACTCTCCCTCCCCCTCCGCTCCACTCTCCTCCCCCTCCGCTCCACTCTCCCTCCCCCTCCGCTCCACTCTCCCTCCCCCTCCGCTCCACTCTCCCTACCCCTCCGCTCCACTCTCCCTCCCCCTCCGCTCCACTCTCCCTCCCCCTCCGCTCCACTCTCCCTCCCTCCGCTCCACTCTCCCTCCCCCTCCGCTCCACTCTCCCTCCCCCTCCGCTCCACTCTGCCCTCCCCCTCCGCTCCACTCTCCCTCCCCCTCCGCTCCACTCTCCTCCCCCTCCGCTCCACTCTCTCCTCCCCCTCCGCTCCACTCTCCCTCCCCCTCCGCTCCACTCTCCCTCCCCCTCCGCTCCACTCTCCTCCCCCTCCGCTCCACTCTCCCTCCCCCTCCGCTCCACTCTCCCTC